CTCCAACATCCTTCTACCAATATAACCACTATCCCTCCTCTGCACATGTCCAAACCATCTCAATCTGGCCTCTCTGACCTTGTCCCCAAAACAGCCGACCTGAGCTGTCCCTCTGATGTGCTCATTCCTAATCCTGTCCATCCTGGTCCCTCCTAAAGAGAACCTCAACATCCTCATCTCTGCTACCTCCATCTCTGCCTCTTGTCTTTTCCTCACTGCTACAGTCTCTAACCCATACAGCATAGCTGGTCAGTCTCTCTCTCTCTCTCTCTCTATGTTGATTACTTTCCCTTAATATCAATCAAATAACAGTTTTTGTATGACTGAAGGAATGAGAACAATCAATGAAATTTAATTTTGCCTCATCAACAGACAAAATTCAACATAGTTGCTTAGGAGCTATTCAGACCATGCACGTTTTGCACACTTCATTTTGTGTTTGATTTTAAATGGATAAAACTGCAATTTTTTTTACCCTTCAGTACTCTGTAGAACCCCTCTGGCAGCTTCAAGTCTCTCTCAGATTTGACAGTTTATCCCATTCTTCCTGACAGATCCTCTGAAGCTCCATCAGATTGGATGTAAAGTGTCTGTGAGCTGGCATCTTCAAGTGTCTCCACAGATGTTCTTTGTGGCTTAAGTCTGGGCTTTGGCTCAGCCACTCAAGGATAGTCAGAGACTTGTTTTTAAAACTCTAGTGCTGTCTTGGCTGTGTGCTTCTGATAAAAGACAAACCATTGAATGCACTCTGGAGCAGGTTTCCAGGTTCTCCAGGATAACTAGAGCAAACATGATGCATGTGACCACAGTCTGGGGTGCCACAGCAGAGGGTCTGAGTGCTTTTGTATATGAGAGATTTACATGTTTGAAGTAAATTTGCAACAGGTTTTAACATGTTTTCGCTTTGTCGTTAGTTATTGAGCTTAGATTAATAGGCAAATTTATCTATTTAATCCAATTTTGAAGTCTACAAAAAGCTACGTTTTCACTGTTGGGCATCTAAAGAGTGGTTCACCCTGTGTTTCCCATAACTGTCACAGAGCATGACCTCACAGGCTGCTGCTGACCCTTCTGCTTTGCTTGTCTACAGTTTTTCTCTGTGTCAGTCTCCCCATGTTTACACACACACACAGAGCTGAGCAGAGCATGTCAGCCCAGGGTCACAATGCTCCTTGGTGCAGCAAACTCAGCCCATAATGGAGACTGTATGAGCATTTTATCAAACAGCTGTTGAACAAGCTTGTAGAAATGTGATGTCTTCACCGTGTTGTCATGGTGGTTTACCTTGAAACCAGTGTGTGTTTACACACAGTTAGTGAAGCTAATAGCTCCTTGTAAGACACTTACATTTAGCCAGTTACTGGCGACAGCTCCTCAAGCACCCACCCCTCTCTGTGTAACTTTATTTTAGTCCTGCCTCTGGGTTGCTGGATTTAGCTCCCAGAACGCACCTGCCCGGGGGACAGAGGGCAGTGGAAACGCAGAACCTGCAATGAGCGTTACTCGACATGTTTTGTTATTTTTGCTATGATGGAAAAACCTAAAGTGTGCAAAAAGTGAAGGGGGTCCTGGACACTTTGTGAAGCCAAATGACTAGTTGTTTTAGCTGTGTCAAACTTTTGACTGAACCCCCCCCCCCCCCTTGGGGTGTCACTTTTTCTATGTTGACAACAAAGGTCTTGATTTGTGGTAGTGTGAAATCCCTGCACATGTGACAGGAGACCACTCCAGACCACTGTTTTGAAAAATCTATGTTCTGCCTCTGAACAGATCCGGCCCCACATTTCCACCCTGAGGAAGTACACTTATGGAAAACACATCCTGGCCAAGCTGGAGAAGTATTACATGAAGAATGGTGTTGACCTGGGTCCTCTCTGCGGTCCTCCTAATGGCATCATGTAAACCAACTCCCCCTCTACACCCTGAAATCATGAGCAGCACCTGAAATACCCTCCCCCCCCCCATGTCTCCTAGCCCCACCCTGCTGTCCTTGTCTGACCCTTCAGAAGGCATCATATCCCACTTTCCCCTATGAAGTCTACTCACTGAGGATGTTGAGTACCCCTTGTACTGTTACCATGACGACCCGTCAGGCGGAGTCTGTTGCTGCAGGTAACCTTAGCTTTTGTCAGATGTTGTTGCCCGTCTCTGCCCGAGCCCAGGCCTGATGAACTGGGGAAGGAGGGCAGGGAGTGGAGAGAGGTGAGACCTGTTCCACTCATCGCTCCACTCCCTCTTTTTGTTAGTTTTTTTTCCCCATTTCCTCTTTTCATCATTTCTAATAGACACAAATCATATCATTTTTTGCTACTGCTGCACACACAATCCTAGTGCCCCCCCCCTCCTCCCATCCTAGAAATTTACCACTATGAGATGGAACGAATATTTAATTTGTCCAATGTCAGAATCATAGAAAATACACACACATGCCATTAGATAACCAGCAGACAGATCATTTAGCATGGGAGATTCGTTTTCTGGTCTTGCTTCTATAAATATAACGTGTATACTTGGTGTAGACCTTTGCATATATATATATATAAATATATATATAAAACTTTGTAGTTTTTCTGGTTTTTGATGTTGAATCTGTATCTATAATGTATCCTAGTAGTGACCACATACTTCTGACTGTATAATTGTACATTTGTAAACCCTTGTAATGTAAAAGTGCTTTACCACCCTTTTTGGTATGAGAAGAAAAAAGGAAAAACTCACTCTAGAAAAAAAAAATCTGAAAAAAAACTGTGCATTTCAGTGTATATTCTCACCTCCTTGGTTGTGATATATGAGTTGTTGTATATTGTAAATTGTAATATCAAATCTTTGTTTTGAACAGCCCTTTCTATACAGCGTAGTACTTGTACAAAGATTCACCACGCTTGGTTTTTTCTTGTCACTGCTTAACTTAAGACATTGATTTTCCCACTGGCTCCCAATTGGACATGTTCTGTTAGAATTAATGGTGTCTTCTGATTTGTTTGTTTGTTTGTTTTTTCCCCCCCCTCTCTTTTTAAGTCTTTTTATCGAATGCTTCACCCCATGAAATGTGTTATGAGTATGCTGGTTGGGTGAGCGAAGTACCTTTTACATATTTCACCCCCCAGACACCTGACTACCCATGACTGTTTTCAGGGGTGAACCTGTGGATTGTACAGAGGAGAAATTTTTTTTTTGGCATTTCTATAGTGCTGTAAGTGCTGTATCATACTGTCCATGTCCTTTTGGGTGAGAGAAACAGCCCGCCACAGCGCGGTGTACATTTGGAGCAGCCTTGTGTATATTTACTACGAGCACACCTGTAACCATATGTGTATAGTTAACAGAACCTGTGTATGCTTATTGCCTGGGCAACTATTTTTTGTAACTCCTGTTGTAGATTGTCTCTAAACAATTGTGTGATCTTTATTTTGAAACCAAACTGAACAAAAAACTGAAAATTTCACAGTCTCGAGTGAGTTTCATTGCATGTGCAATACACTCACACAGG